AACTGTGAAGTGTCAAACATGAGAAATTACAACCTTGTATTTACATATGGGAAACACAGTCATCCAAGATTGATACCTATTCGAAATACTTTTATCGGAATAGTTCAAGCGGAAAAATGGGTCTAGCTTACATTTTAGATAGGGGCTGCTCATTTATTCCGATTCTACAAAAATTTCGAGCATTTCCTTAACCATGGTTCGTTTCAACTTACTATAAAATATATCATAAACTTTTCGGCTTGTTGCGTGTTACATGAAATTGGTTGAAATCGGTTTGTTCGTGAAACAGAATTCAGGAATTCACGTCAATTATAGTAAAATATGCCGATGCTTCTCAAACCGTTTTGTTTCCTCGCTTTATTTCGAAGGTGTTAAACTTTTATTTGCATGGCTATGGACCATTATTTGCGCACATTCGAGTGAAAATGTCGCTATAACCCAGGATCAATAAATTATCGAAAAATTGAGAGATTTTAAGTGATCAATTCGTATTTTGGCTGGAATTTCGTATCCCAATCAATAGTCGATGCTGCTTACTCATACAAAATTTAAGCAAAAATGGCAATAAGACGCTTTGAAAGTCCCCTTGAAAGTAGCGCATGGTAAAATTGCATTATCAGTTAATTTAGTAATGCGAATAACATGACGTGTGCGTCTTCATCGTGATGATTTTCGAAAATTGAGTCTATGCCAAATAATACTGGGAATTCGTGTTCAAATCTGTCTCTCGTTCTCTCGACTCACCGAATTGATTGATTAGACTCGATGTGGTGAAGCTTCTATATGCGTGCACGCATTCATTTACCCAACCATATGCCATGTATCCATCTATGTAGGCATAGTTGAATGTATCTCCAAGAGAATTGCTCCCCACATATACATCGTATAACTTTTCGTTCGTTATTGCAAAGTTTTGTTTGTTTTGTTTTGTTACTCTTCAGTTCAACATCAAATCAAATCAATTGTTGGTGTATTGTCTTTCTAAAACATTCCGTTCAAAGCACGTAAATTCAATTGCAACACCAGCAGGCCAGGCCTAATATCCACTATCGGTTGCCAGAGCTACTTTAAATTCGAGTGCGTTATTTATTTCATTTGCGATACTGAAACCGCTATTTATACGTGCAAAAATTGAATGGGAAGCGGGAAGAGGAGAAGGAGGTGGTAAATTGGCTTTTGCGTGTCATTTAGTTTTGATTGGGGCGTCAGTTCGTGAACGACAAAATCAAATTCCATTGCATTGCCGTGTATGTCTAACGGCGATTCAGTTTAGTTAGTTGACATGGATTGGAGTCGAGTGTGTTTGCTGCACATTCGGCTTTGTCACACACCAAACAAATGAAGCCGAGACACCATTGTAAAATTGACCCGCATCGATTTTTGGAAACATTTCTTTGTTCGATTTTCATGCAAACGAATTGAAAATTACAAACATAAACAAATACATAGAATTCATGTTTGATTGTGTCTGTGTGTATGTGTTGACGATTCAGGCACTCCGCTTTAATTAGTGCATTTATTCAACGTGAATGTAATTAGAGGCCAATGTTCAAAACTGCACACACACACACACATACACACACATAGAGTTTGTAATTAGCATAGCCAGAGAGCCTATTTACATTTGCAAAACAGCATATATTTGAAACGTTGATTACCTGTCCTTCGAAAATCGATTCTGATGCATTTGCACTTGTCCAAATGCACACACATTACATGAATGGTAAGGCGCTAACATAGTGAGTCTCAGCTTACATATGTGAATAACAAAAAGAAATAATAAAAATCAATCGTCTGGCAAATTCAAACATTCTCACAAATGACGTGTACAAAAGGAGATACGAAAAAAAACCCAAGCGATGGCAAATAAATTCGGTGGAATGTGTTTTCTTGAGCCGAACAACCGAACAAAATGGCCATTGAAATGCATTTACGATCAATTTGATGATATTATGCAGCATCAATGCATTGAGCACACAAACCGAAAACGTATAGTTTCCCATTCAAAATCCAAAATTTACGTTTACTTTTCCGACAATTTGTGTTTTTTTTTCTTCATATTTGCTCGTTCTCTTCAGTCAAAGCTGTGTGGAATGGCAAACACATATGCGATTGATTCAAATCCAATATTCTATTTAAAATTCTGGAAGTTGGTCAACAATCGACAAAAGCATTACAATTGGCACGGGGACACTGCTGTTGTTATGCACAGGCACACACACAATGTATGCATTCATATTCATACCCATGTGCCAGGCACTGTGCAGTGTGCGCTCTGCACTCACACAGGGATAGAGAGAGAGAGCCAACAAGTACAACATACGTTCGAGTTCGACAAACAAAACAGTCGACTAGAGTAGTTGGGGATATGAAATTCAAATATCAATAGATAAAATTATTTGATAAATACGGTCAATTGTTTACGGTTGTTAAATCGATTCTTTCGTTTCAATACACTCCCAAAAACGCACGCACTCTCGGTGTGGGCTGCTTGAAGCTTTGTTATGAATTCTATGTGATGATGTTTTGGTATGGATAACGGGGTTTTTAGCTCAAGCAATAAAATATCACATGATTGAATGGGCATGCACAACGGGCACGACAGCATATGTACAATGACATAAAACCATATGTGCAAAGAAGACGACACAATCTCTAGATCAATACGGTTGGTCAGCCAAGATGTGATGACATTATTGGTATAATAATTGCTAATTGCTGTTTGTTCGAACAAACAGACAAACAAGCACACATACGTACATGCAACCACACACATTTTGCATCATATTTTCATCGCATTGTCCGTGTGTTAAATTGTAAACAAATCAAGCCAAACAGATGCTCTGAGGCATGATTTTCAATTGAAAATCCTCCGGTAAACCAGTCTTTGCCGATAAATCATCATTGAACAGAGCAAATATGATTTTTCGACAGGAATTACGAAAGATGCACCACACACACACACACACACATACACCATTCAAACATCAAAAATGCATTAGTTTTGGGCTAAAAGCATGCTTACAGAGGATAAACTAATAGCTTCTTTTGACCATATTCATTCGGATCGATTGATGAAACGGATTTTGATTGATCAATTCACGAAGACTGCAATTTATCTAACGAATTCAATACGATTTGCCAATGCAAAGTTATTCAAAATCCAAATGAGTTATTCAAATATTCAAAGTACATTTACTTTAAATATTGTGGCCTGTGCTTACACTCAACCTACCTGCAATAAGTCATGCACCGTGGTATAACAATTTCAATGGTCATATAATTGCTGTTCGAGTTATAGATATAATAAGCAATAAAGAAATTATGGTCATATAAACGATAATCAAAAAGGCATATTTGATCATATTCATTTTGGTCGAATCAATAATGATTCGAACTATCCGGTCAATTCGTGCATAAACTAACGTATTTCCATTACATGGTCGAACCATTGACATCGTGTCGTGAAATGTGAATACAGTTTTTCGGTGTTGAACTTCGATTAAATTTTATGTTTTTATCGTATAGTTTTCATATCATTTCATGGGTGTTTTCATGTTGGCCATTAAGTTGATCATCTTCCGTTGGAATGGCGATTTTTCTGTTCGTTTCATTTTGTCGAGAAACTTTGAAACGCTCAACCATGAGAAATTTACCATTTGTGGTGCAATGAAAATGGTTTGGGAACACATTTTTTTTTCTTTCGCAGCAACGAAAAAATATCGCAAGTGATCGTAAATGCTGCCAATTTTATGTGAGTAATGTTCAGTTGATTAGCTTTATATATTCGGGTTTTATGGCCGAAAAAATGGCCATAAATTCTCATAGTCAAGTGAATGAATGGTAGCCGGGACAGCCAAGCGAACAAAAAGCGCGAAACATGTGTAACTGGAAAATAAGCTTTTAAAAATTGCTTCCATTTCGATTTGGGTGTGTGTATGTGTGTTTGTCGGTGGCGGAACATAGTTCATTTTCAATTTGTGCTGTATGCGTTTTCTTGCCATTACGCCCATTCCAAACGGCAACAACTTAAAAAAGCAATAGTTTTGCCTTGACTTATTAGTTTATGCGGAAATCGACAAAGTTTCGATGCATAAAGAAAATATACCAATTTGTTCTTTTTTTTTCCTTCCTTTTGCTCACACTCTTTCTCTATTTCTTTATCAATTCCGTACTGAAACTCGAAACATGTATTCGCTTGTCGTAATTCCTTGAACTGAGCGCAAAACTTCATAAACAAATTATTTTCTACACGAAAAATAAAACCAATTTATGAACATCGTCTAGTCAATTAGAAAATAGAAACATTCTTCAGCTCTGGACGAGTATGTTTTTTTTTATCCTCCACAATCCGCATTCATTCATTCGTTCGTTTCGGCTCGCTTATGAATTGCTACCGTTGGATTGCAATAAATACCAACAGCGCCAGCAACACACACACACACACACACACACTCACCGTACGAATGCAAAGTTTTTCCAAAGTTCGCAACTACAAGTAAATAGCAGCAAATGATTCTTTTATCAACAGTGTAACATCGACAAAGTCTCTCTCTCTCTCTCTCTCTCTCTCTCTCGCTTTTTTCCTCGCCTCGTTTGGACGTTTGCATTGCAAAACGTAACGGTTTTCGATGCACTTAAAGCAACCTAATCAATTTAATTTGGAAAAGTTTTGCTGCAATCAACATTCTAACTAAATTTGTTTTCACTTGAACCAAAAACAAGCGCTCCTGTTTTTGTTGAACGACCCGACCCGCCTTACTCTTGGTGCTCTAATTTCAATTAAACGGTTTTGGTTCATTATCACTAGTTTTCAGCAGTTTCTGTTGTGTGTGTGTGTGTGTGTGTGTGTGTGTATGTGTGGTGGCCAATTTGGTTTATGTTCGGTGTTGTTGTGATTGAAATTAACAAGGAAGCGATTAGGGGTTTCGAAATTGAAAACCATTTAATCAACTCAGTTTTAAAATAACTTTTTTCTGTTCATTTTATTGTTGTTTCAGCTGATCCGAAGTTCAGTGGGCCAATTTTGAATGCAACGGTTGCGGTCGGGAGAGATGCAATTCTTACATGCATGGTCGAAGACTTGGGTCAATACAAAGTAAGTTTTTCAATTGATTGTTAAACATAAACTATTTTACGAAATATTTACGATGCACACTTTGATTTCATTTCTTCTTGGCCAAAGAGACGGAGGAGAAATTACTTTCATTACTTTGCTACGAAATGCTTCCACCAACCAGTCTCAAATTCACTCAAATTATTACAAGTTTTAAATTCAATTTTAGAGTCTTCACACTAAAATCCATGAATTGAATCAACTTAAACCTCTGAGTCGTGGGCTCTGACAGTAGTCGCAATGTAAGAGAATGGCAACGAGATGGCAATAATTTTTTGATACGTTCACATTTCAAATATTTGCTTACGGACTCTTCGTATAACCACATTGTCTTTAATACAATTCGTATTTTACGAAACAAAGTCATTTCATTATCGTGATGAAACCCCAGAGTATCACAATCAACATATACACTGTCTCTGGTCGTGGTGAAAATTCCCGATTCATATATGCATGATTCATTAAATTGCACTCTCTCTTCCTCACAATCCATGCTTGCCTCGTTCTCTCCCTCTGTATCTCGCTCGTTCGCTTTCACTCGCTTAGCCGTCTTCCGTCGAAAATTTCACCCTCATTTCATGCGCTCCGTTTGGTATCGTTTACACATCAGCCCTAATTATGCATACCGATTTGCGTTTACGGTTTCAATGGAGTGTGCGGCACAGAGTGTGATAATTAGATGTGTTTAGTATTTTACAACAGCACCACACTCATTAATGGCGATTTAGTGTGTGAGAGAGCGAGATGAAGATGTCTTCAACGCCACACACAGTTGTTCAATGAAGATAATGAATTCGGATAAAGACGAGATCCTCGTATGATTTATTTTAAAATTACCCGGCTCTTTTTTCGCCACGAAGCATCCAACATGGAAAAATGTAAACAGTTTCTGATTGATTGAAACGGTGCATGGCATGGATGCCTTGTCGCTAAAAGGGATATTCAAACTTAAACAATATAAACTCCCTTTTCGCTTTATATCAATATCAACAGTCTGTCTCCTATCCGTTGACTTTCCACTGAATCGCAACCGGTCGTCTACCGTCGGTCAAATGTATGGAAAAAATAATTTCAACGAAAAATGACGCGCGTATTGATTTTAAATCCACGTTTACCCTAAACATACATTAATCGTTATCGATTTTCTCGTTTGCAGGTGGCGTGGCTTCGCGTGTAAGTATCAACATTAACATTTTCAATTACCGTCACATTGTTTGATTGAATTTTCAGCTGAAAATAGCTCAAGAGTTGAATGAAATCAACAACTGAGATTGATTTATCTACTCTCGATATATTTGTTCATAACATTTCTTCTTTATTCATTTTTCCAGTGACACACAGACCATTTTAACGATTCAGAATCATGTAATTACAAAAAATCATCGTATCAGCATATTGCATTCCGAGCACAAGACATGGCAATTGAAGATTAAGGATATTCGAGAATCCGATCGAGGTTTTTACATGTGTCAAATGAATACTGACCCAATGAAGAGCCAAACCGGTTACCTGGATGTTGTTGGTAAGATTTTATTTTTTAGAAAACAAAAAACAAAAAATGAAGTCTATTCAAGACAAGAGATCAATATTATATGAGAGAGAGAGAGAGAGAGAGAGAGAGAGAGAGAGAGAGTGAGTGAGAAAGAAAATATGTGTCACATGGCAAAAAGTGCAAACATATTTGCGCTCGCCAACAGGCATCATCCCAATGACGGCAACGATGTCGAAAGTTCTCATCAATATGGAGAATTGCACAATCTTTCAATGAACTCTGACATCAATATTGACTTGTATCTCCGGTGCGATTGACGATATAAAGCAAATAGACGTTATTTCCGTTCGCAAAGTCTTCATCGTTATTAGTTTCTGTTAGTTGTATTGTAACATTCTGCATTACATTTTGAGGCCACTGCAAGTCATAACTATCAAACAAACTATCACTCGCTCTACTTTTTACTCAATATCTTAGACAGTACAACACAAACAAAATCTTTAGATAAAATTATGAAACGATACAGTTTTCCATTCATCAGGAAGCGCCGGTTTTCTTTTTTTTACGCTTTAGTGATGCGATTAATAAAGAACCGAGACGAATAATCAATAAATGGAATTAGTTTTCCAAGCAAATCATTAAAAAAAATGATTGGATGACTCAATTATACTGATTTGAAAATGAGACGCAATTTGTGAAAATGCAACTAAATTATTAATTCTTGGGAAACAGCTTGTTTTTTCTCTGGCAAATGTATACGTTATTCATTCCACTTTGATGACACATATAATGCGATGCGATGCATATCGATTGATTGTGAAATAGCAGACAATTTAAAATGTCGTTTTTGTTCGCGTTGATAAAACAACAAGTAACTAAAATAGCGACAGCGACGGAAAGGACAGCGAAACAAACAATCGAATGATAGATGCAATTTAAATGAAGTTTTATTTGTTTTTTTTTTCTGCTATTTTTTTTCATTTCGCTGTTCGTTTTATTCGCCGTCGCTAAAGGTATTTTACCGAGAGTCCGGCAAAAGAGAGAGAGAGAAATTGAGAGACATAGCAAGTGAGTGTGGAGCAATGACAAGCAGCCATCCGATAATAAACAAACACAGACAAATAACAAATTACCCTGCAAAACATTTCCGTTAAATAAAATGGATGTGTTTGTGTGTGTATTTTTGGTGCAGTGATTCTTTCCGTAAATACACACAAACCGAACAGTTTATTAGTTTTAGCCGGGTGATGTTTTTCAACGGCGCGTTTTTTTTCTCTTTCTCTCGCTTCAAAGTCCTTACGCGATGGTAGTGAGGTGGAATGAGTGAGTGAAAAAGACCAAACATCGATGTCTCGACCGAACGGCAATGGTGAAAAACGACCGGCGAACAGCCGACAATTGTACAATCCATTCTAAGTACTAAACACGGATGGATATCACAGCTGGAGACATTCAAGCATGCACAGCAAGAAACCGTCGTCGTTGTCGTGGTGGTTGTTGTAGGTCGGTTGAGAGTTCGCGCGCGCAAACAAGCGAATAGCTAGCGCGATGACAAGCAACAGCGAGAAAGAAAAAAAACGGACAGCAGCAGCAAACCAAATACGAAGTAAACAATGGCTTAAGCAAATAGACAAACAAAAAGTAAAATGGATATTATTAAACAAATTCAATTATATGATAATGAATTACATTTTGTCACCATATTTTATCGAGTAAAATGTTGTGGCGGTGTGAGTGCGGGCAACTCACTCACTCTCTCTCTCTCTCTCTCTCTCTCTCTCTCTCTCTCTCTCTCTCTC